CGTAGATCGAAGTAGACAAGATATAAATGCTGAAGTAGTTTAACCGCTGCTGTTTTATGGTGCAGAGACCTTGTGGTTACGGAAATAGAATTAAGAAAGTCTACCATTTTTCGACCACTGCTGTCAACAGCGCACGGTACGGGTCTAATGACGCAACAGGATAAGAAATACCGAGATCAGGTGCAGGGGCTTAGCCATCTCGGTCACGCACTGGGGCATGTGAACTGCATGTCAGTTGACAGTCGTCTCCGAAGTTCGAGGCCGTAATAGGTGGGAAAAGTCAAAGGTGTTCAAACTAAAACCAGATATGACGGTATGAACTCTGAATAGGAGATTCGGTCACAGGTCTCGTTAGACTTTGTGGTTATGAACCTGAAAATCACAGTAATCGATGATCAGAGAGTATCGTACACAGCTCATCATCGTCTACGCGATCCATCTGTCTGCGCACGTTATGAGGAGAAGCTGGGTCAAGAGCCAGGATATCAGCAACATAGTGGAGAAGACCAACAGTTGAATCAGATTAGAGTTCCGATGCACTCAGCTGCAAACTTTGCTTGTGGGACCGAGCCCGAAGTTCTCCGAAGGCACTGAATCTCTCAGGAGACAGTTATCTCGATGGATCAAAAGCGAAATATCCAAATCTGCCAGGATCAGCATAAGGACCAGGGTCGCCTGCTACGTGAACTCAGGAAAAGCCTTAAGAAAGATCGCGAAAATTGGTGGGCCAGAATAGCTAGTGAAATGGGGGTAGCTTCTGCATGAGGGAAAAGTCAAAGAGTATTTCACCCGATACGTAGCACCGGAGGTCGTCGCATACCGATCAGTGAGACCATTTGCGATAAAAGTGGACAGAGTATCCATAATAAAGAAGAACGACTTGATCACTGGGCAGAGTATTTTAGTGAACAGTTCAATTGGCCAAATGCTAATGAGATCATTCCAGCAGGTGCGGCGGAAACCCCATGGGTGGTAACACGTAAGTCCCCATAAGAATCGGAAGTACGTATTCAATCACTTAAGAAACGGGAGGGCTGCGGAACCTGATGGGCTTGTCCCTATTCTTTTTAAGGTGGGCGGTGATTCTCTTGTCGACTCAATTACCAGCTTATTTCACAGCATTTGGACGGAGGAGCGTAGCCCTTTATCCTGGGGTGAATCGTTGATCGTCCCAATCTTTTAGAAGGAATCAAGCAACGACTGCGCTAACCACTGTGGGATTAGTTTACTTCAGATAATCACAAAAGTGTTGACTTCTGTGACACTTCGCCGCTTGACACCCTTAAGGGAGAGGAATATCCACGAACAGCAAGCCAGATTCCGACTAGGTCGCGGGTTCATCGACCATATCTTCACTCTGCGTCAAGTCCTCGAACTGTGTCACACACATCGTCGGCCAACAATCGCAGTGTTCCTTGACCTAAAAGGAGCCTTCGATTCAGTTGACCGTGAAGCTCTTCTGGGTTTGCGGCTTCGTAAAAGAATGTCACGGAAGTATGTTAACCTATTGAGGGCGCCGTACCAGCACTTTTCTGGTAGCGTAAGCATCTACTGTGGGCTAAGTAAATCGTTCGAAACCAAAAGCGGTGTTCGTCAAGGGTGCCCTGTTTCGCCATTCTTGTTCAATTTCATCGTAGATGAATGTGGTGATCTAGGCCTACGTGATGACACCTACCCTGGAACGGCGCGATACAGTTTCTGGATATCTACGTTCAATTGAATTTGAAAGGTGACGTCAATGACGCGCGTACGCGTCACGGCTTCTGACTACACGTCATTGGCGATTCGTGCCAGCCAATCCGAGACAGTGCAGACAAAAGCAAAATTATGCAAGCATTATTGCAATACGATTGATGGAAGCCTAGATAACCAATAATCTTCTTTTGTACGCATTATTCAATCGCCCTCATTTATTTCAATAAACGAACAACGTACTACTATTCCCGTGGCCTTTTCCTCGCGTCTCGTTCACGTGGGATATTTCGAGCTCGTGCCATTGTGGTCCAGTGCTTCCGTAATCCAGTCCGTGATAGCTGATCCTAGATTCGTGTCCTGTGATTTCTATTGCGTGGTTTATGTTCCGGATTCCGTGCGTACTACTACTACTACTACACTAATTAGAATGAAATACTGGAGAGCGTACTCAGTGGTCTCCAAAACGTAGGTATTGAATGGGCAACTGGAGAGAAGCTGTGCGATTTAGAGTACGCTGATGGCATCGTATGCCTGTTCGAATCTATGGAGTTGGCGCAAAGCGCCCTTAACAGACTAGCAAGCTCTGTAACTCCCCTAGGCATACGCTCTGCACCTCCAAAGTACAAAGTGATGCTGCAAGACTGGGTGTTGTCCATCCCAGCACTGATGCTTGATGATCAAGAATTAGCTGTAGTGGAATGTTTCACCTACTTAGAGAGCTGCGTGACAAATGATGATAGCGTTGTCAATGGAGTTACCACTCGCATTTCCAAGGCTCGAGCAGCCTACGCAGGACTGAAACACCTTTGGTGCAGACGCGATGTTTCGTTGAAACTGAAAGGTTGTGTATACT